CTAAATGCGATAAAGTCAAGACTGGTGAAGACAAAAAGAGAAGCAGATGTGTGCTTACGCGTTGGTATCAACGATTGCAAGGGGGATGGGGGGGGGGGGGGCGAAGTAGAGAAACAACATAGGACAGAAGTCGACAAAGAACATGAGACGATGTAGACAAAGAACATGAGACGATGTAGACACAGAACAAGAGACGAAGTAGACAAACAACATGTGACGAAGTAAAAGACAGCACAAGAGACGAAGTAGACAAACAATATGAGATGAAGTAGACAAACAACATGAGATGAAGTAGACAAAACAACAAGACAGAAGTAGACAAACAACATAAGATTAAGTAGACAAACAAAATAAGACAGATGTAGACAAACAACATAAGACAGAAGTAGACAAACAACATCAGACAGAAGTAGACAAACAACATCAGACAGAAGTAGACAAACAACATCAGACAGAAGTAGACAAACATGAGATAAAGCAGATAAAACAACATAAGACAGAAGTAGACAAACAAAATAAGACAGAAGTAGACAATCAACATTAGATGAAGTAGACAAACAACATGAGACAGAAGTAGACAAACAACATGAGATGAAGTAGACACATAACAAGAGACGAAGTAGACAAACAACATGAGGCGAAGTAGATTTTAAAAAAAAATTGAGACAAAAGCATCACACAATAAGACAAACTAGTGGATTGCGGAAGCAAGGAGGCTGAAGAAGAACCTCATGACCTATGTTGATGAGAGTTACCAGATGTGCCTGGCTTGACTTCCATCCATGACGAAGTGGTCAAGACGTTTGCCTCACGCTGTGAACCTCGTGGGATACAGTTCACTGGTGTAGTTCCACGGAGATATCTGAGGATCGACGCTATAGCTATGGAGTTAGTGCTTCGTGTGACTTTCTCAGCTGCGGCTGAGATAATCCGGTGCAGTGAATTCGATCCTATCGACTTTAACTTTACGTCATATAAAATAAAGGGCAAGACTAGACCGGAAGCCCTCTGGGATGTCAAAAGACACACTAGGATAATGGTGGAGATGAACTCAACGTCCTTTATTCTCCAGTCGTAGCAGCCGTGTTGGAGCGGCAAGACAGTCACCTCCAGATCTGATAGTCGTGGGTTCAGGTACTGGCGGAGCTGGAATTAGTTTTCTTCAAAAATAGCATTGGCTTTCAGGTCGACCCAACTTTTAATTGTTTATCAGGTAAAGTCCTAGGAAGTAAAGGCGGCCGACAGTATGTTGACCACGTCACCAACCGAGTGCTATTTATCTATAAATATAAGTATAGCCTTATATTCCCAATAATCATGACAGCGTGGACAAGGATCCTTTACTTTACTTACTAAGTAATATTGTTCTAAAATGTACAAGACTGGTATCGTTGTTTTCAGCCGACATTTATCTCAGGACCCTGGCACGATGATACACGGATCTGCATCCAGATACATTCTAGACGATAAGCATTTCACGAGAACGATAAGGATGAAGATAATAATAAAGAGATGATTCCCTCCTTACCTCGAGAGTTTTTCGGGTAAGCTGTCTTTACTTTATTGTGTGTGTGTGTGTGTGTGTGTGTGGTGATTCTTTGTGACCAGGTGAGAAACAGTGTCTTCTTCTTTAGCACTGACTGACTGACTTTCTACCCCACCGGGACATCACACAAGCGATAAACACCCGATGACACAAAGTGCCACCACGTGGATGAGGATCACCATGGAGAGGTCCCAGAAACCGCGTTCAGACAATTGGCCATATTTATGGCCTGCCTATATTGCGCCAAATGTAAAAGGTCTCTTGTCCACGTGGAATATAGAGTTAGACCTATATATTTTATAGACCAATCGGCACTTGGTGGGTGAGGTGATGTGGTCAGCATCACAAAGGCTGCCTTTACTTTACAGGACTGCACCTGGTACCCACTTACGGTTGGGTCGAAATGGGAGTCATAGCCATTTTTAAAAAAAGTCGGGCTCCATCAGGGCGTGAACTCACGACCTTCCGATCCGCGGGCGGAAGTCTAGTCGCTAACGCCACGGCAACTCCTTTTTGGAAATGTGCAATTTTATTATCTTTCCACTGCTGTCTCCGTCTGTCTGCTCCTGTTAGCTCTATTGTGTACGCAGTTGTCTCTTTAAGTTACCATTTACTCTACAAGTCATTGCGGTCTGTTAGCCCTCATTATGCCAGTAATTAATTCCGATTTAAAGAGATATGCATTTTCTTCTTCTTCTTCGTGTTCTGGTTGTTTATCCACTTTTGTACTGCAGTCCTGTTCCAGAACCTGAGTGTTACGTGCGCATCCGTTTTACAGATTGCAGACTTCTGATTCCTTGCCTCTCAGGCAGATGCACTCCGACTTCGAAGGAAGCACCCAAATTAGTAGACTCTTAGGACATGCTTTTGGGTAGGCAGTGGGTCTATTCTTTTTTCACTTATAACAGGGCCCCGGAAGCCTTACAGGGAGTATGCATTTTGATGTTGCTCTTTCTCGCTTTCTTTCTCTCGCTTTTTTCTCTCTCTTTCTTTCTGTATGTCACTCTTTCTTTCTATCTGTCTGTCTGTATCTCTATCTCTCTCATTCTCTGTTAAGCGACAAACCACATCACGCGAAATTAGGAGAAATCCCTCAATATTGGGGGGGGGGGGTGTAGGATTAGTAGCACTAACCCTAACTCAATACCCCCCCCCCCTCTCCCCCATACTAGGGGATGTCCCCTAAATCTCGCGTGATGTGATTGCTTAACACAAAAGAACCAAGAAAGCAATTACAAATGTACTTACTCATCATTATCGCCAGACTGTAGCAAGATACGGTAAACTCTACCTACCTACGGAAAGTTCAAGGCGGATCCTTTCCTCTGTTAATCAGAGAGACTTATCATGGAGGATGAAGTACTCATTTCCGATCTGTGTTAAATAAGTCTTCTTAGACATCTGATGGATGAAAGTGCTGAATTGAGCCAAGACGGTCTTGGGTGAACTGCTAGGTTCGTGCGTTCGTTCACAAATGGTCGCCATTTAAGATGTTATAAGCAGAGGATTCCTGTGATAACCCGCTCAAAATGTGCACTGTCTTCATAGCTTCCCCGTGTGGGTTCCGATGTCCCATTTCGGCAGCGGCGAGGTGTGATTATTTCGTACTTGTAAGCGCTGACAGGTAACGGTTACCCTGAAGAGGGAGGGTATCACGTGACCGTTTACACGCCGTTCTTCGCTTTTGAAAAAATGCGTGTGCAACTAGGATGGAAGTACTGATAACTTGTAGCTTTCCACTGGCTACAGTTTATGGCTGGAGTACACATGGAACATACTTTCTTTTTGTTATGTAAATACACTTAACCAGCGTTGTGTACTTGGTGAGAGACATAAACCGAGTGGCGTATCCAGTGTTGCCACTTTTCTTTGACAAAAAAAACATCCAAAACGGGGTTAAAAAATATCTAAAAACATCTAAATTTGCGTAGAATCACATCTAGACAAAACATCCGAATGGAACGAGTCACAAATTACATAGCAATTAATACGACTTACCCTATAGAATCATGTCTTAATCTTTACTGAAGTCTGCCTTATAGGATCCACAGGATAAACTTAGCTTGGATGATGAAGTTGAAGCTTCAGATCCAAAATGACTCTGGTGTGCTTTAGCTGTTCCAGTTTCTTTTAATACCCAATCAGGGAGCTGATAAGTGGAACAGCCTTTTCCTACTCTTATCAGGCCGAATTTTATTGCCAAGATAGCATTTAAGAGGTCAAATATCAACCTGTTTCTTAGGTTAGATTTGATAAATTCACTCCAATAGAAGAACATCTACCATCTAAACGTCAAAACCCCCATCTAATGCAAGGGAAAACATCTAAATATGGATGTAAATCATCCAAAGTGGTAACACTAGGCGTATCTGCAATAAAGGTAATCAGTAGCTTAGGCGTTCGTGGCTTAGGCGTTGCGAGTCCGACGTACCGCGATCGAAACCTACTGCTGACTGCCTGGTATGGGGCGTCGCAGGTCGATCCGGCTAAAATTGGTACCAGGATGTATGTCCTGGGGAAGTAAAGACGGCCGGCGTAATGCTGACCACATTACCCACCTAGTGACGATTGGTCTGTAAAAATATGGGTGCTCGATATGTCCGATGTGCCTAAAGGCGTGAAAAGTTATCTTTATTTTACTTGCTAATCATTAGTAGTTAAGTAATGCTTTTTTTCCCCTCTTTTGCAATCGAAAGTACAAGAGGCGATTACCGCCTTGCATGCTTATATCCCCACTGATGATAATGATTATGATTGGCACCATTTACTAGTACTTATGTTTTTTTGCGTCTATACCATTTTATACAAACAATCGCCTGGATGGGAAGTTAAACCCAGAAATGACAGAACGAACGAATTTTAATGTCGGAGGAAAAGAACAGCACTGTATATAGCATCCTTTTTTTTTTTTTTGGCTTCACTTTTTCTTCTTCTTCTTCTTCTTCTTCTTCTTCTTCTTCTTCTTCTTCTTCTTCTTCTTCTTCTTCTTCTTCTTCTTCTTCTTCTTCTTCTTCTTCTTCTTTTCCACCATTTACCTCGACGAGGTGTTAGAGGTGTTAGGGGAGATGTGAGGATCGTTTAAGCGCTTGTTCTATTGCATTGTAAAGGATGATGATCATTTCTGTTAAGATGCTCCTGATTGTGTTGCTCAGTGACTTGCGTGGTCTTCCTCTTGCTCTGTGTTTATTTTATTTCTTCAGCACGGCTCTCTGTGGCAGTTGGCAGGGTGGCATTCTCGTCAGGTGGCCAAACCATCTCATTTATTGTTCTTTAATGAAGATGAGACTGGTTTCTGTCGTAGTCTTCTAATTTCTTTATTCCTGATTTTATCTCTTCTTGTCATACCGGCAGCTCTCCTAAAACATCTCATCTCTTTTGTTATAATCTTCCTCACATACATTATATTATGCTAATTCCGTTTAGCCAGATGCATAGTTGTACTATTAAATAACAGTCACTTTCTATTCTCTTCTCAGACTGATAATAGAGATGATTCATCTCGTTGTTGGATCATTTTGGATGATGATGGCTGTATCTTCGACAACGTCTGGTTCATCTTCCACTTCTTCACGCTATTCGTTCAGCACCTTCACCACGCCACCGTTCTCACCAACAGCATCACGCAGCGTCGATGACCTCACTTTAAACACTCACAGACTGCAAGAGCTTGGCAGTCGTGGCCAGTGGCTGCTGCGGCACATGGCCATCATGGCACACACTTGTGGGGTCAGGGACATGCCAAATCTGCGGAGGAAACTCTTGGCGAAATCAGAGGTGACCTGCAATGATGGCTCTCCCCCTGGGTAAGCAACCTATTGTTTGTTTGTTTCTTCTTCGTCTTCTTCTCCCCCTCCTGTCTTTTTTTTTTCTTCTTCTCATCCCCCTTGCCTTCTTTTATTTCTAATTTATCTCCATCTCCTTCTTAGTCCTCCTCGTTGTCATCCTCTTTTTCATCTATTTCTCCACTGCTGCCGCCTTCTCCCTCCTCTTTATTCTTTCCATCCTGCTGCTTTTCCTTCTTATTATGTCTGTTTAAGCTTTCTTGTCTGCGCTGAACTGTTGACATCAGAGCTTTGAGTTGTTGCTCGTATCAGCCATGAAACATCAGGTTAATGTGTCCTCAGCTGACCCTCAGTGTGTGCATCCGTGTGTGTGCGCGCGTGCGTCCGTGTGTGTGAATAGAACAGTGGCTCTCAACATTCCTAATGCAGCAACCCTTGAATACAGTTCCTCATGTTAGGGCGACCCCCAACCATTCAATTATTTTCGTTGCTACTTTATAACTTCAGTAAAGATGTATTTTGCGACTCTTTGGCGACACCTGTGAAAGTGTCGTTCGATCCATAAAAGAGTTGCAACACACAGGTTGAAAACCACTGGAGCAGGAGATGCTAAGTCTGCTATTATTCTTCTGCAGGTTGTGCCACCTACTGCTGTTGTTGGGCCATTTGTAAAATTCGTGCTGTTGGAAGACAATTTCTACTTTCTTGCTGTTGTGTTAATTGTACATATGACGGCGGTCTAGTGAAATCTTTACATACCGTTGTTCTGTGATAGCCTCTACACATATTTTTTTTTTTCAAATAAGGCAGTGGATAACACATTTTACTGCTCTGTAACTGTCTCTACAAAAACTGATAAAAGACAGTCTATATACACAACATATACACATTCTAGTGTTCTTTGACAGTTCTACACATACTGATATAAGACAGTCTATATACACAACATTTACATATTCTAGTGTGCTATGACAGTTCTACACATACTGATATAAGACAGTCTATATACACAACATTTACATATTCTAGTGTGCTATGACAGTTCTACACATACTGATATAAGACAGTCTATATACACAACATTTACATATTCTAGTGTGCTATGACAGTTCTACACATACTGATATAAGACAGTCTATATACACAACATTTACATATTCTAATGTTCTATCACAGTTCTACACATACTTGTATAAGACAGTCTATATACACAACATATACATATTCTAGAGTTCTATTACAGTTTTACCCAAACTGATTTTTGACAGTCTATATACAACATAACATATTCTAATGTTCTATGACAGTTCTACACATACTGATATAAGAGAGAGTCTATATTCACAATATATACATATTATAGTGTTCTGTGACAGTTCTACACATACTGATATAAGACAGTCTAAATAGACATCATTTACATATTCTTGTGTTCTATTACAATTCTACACATACTTGTATATGACATTCTATATACACAACATAACATATTCTAATGTTTTTATGACAGTTTTGCAAATACTGATATAAGACGGTCTATACACAAAATATATACATATTCTGGTGTTCTATGAAAGTTCTCACATACTGATATGCTGTGATGTGTACTTGTTCCTACCCTTTTTTGAATATATTTATCAGTTCTTTTGAAACACGCCTTTCGAGATAAGGAGGATGGTATATTCATCCGTAACCGTTCTGGCGAGATCCTTTGCAATGCTCGTAGGCTGAACGCCAAGACCAGGATAAGAAAGACCCTTATCTCAGAGTTGCTGTTTGCAGGTGATGCAGCAATTACCACCCACTCAAATCAAGAGCTGCAATATTTACTATCTATATATGCTGATACATGCCGCGAATTTGGACTAACAATCAGCAACATAATACAAAGGTTATTGTGCAAGCTGTTAATGATAGACCTACAGTATACAATGATGGTGAAGAGCTAGACAGATGAACATTTTACCTATCTGGGATTCACAGTAAATAACAAACCATCACTGGATCAAGAAATCAACATCAGGATAGGTAATGCAGCAACAACTATTAGCAGATAAACACAACAAGAGTTTGGGAGAACAGAAAGCTCACGATTAAATTAAAAAAAAAACAACTCTTGTATATCAGGCTTGTGTTATCAGCACTCTGCTTTATTGCAGTGAAACTTTGTCAACGTAAGCGTACCATCGTTCCCTACGAAGAATACCTGATATTAAGTGGCAGAATAAGATCACAAATGCTGAGGTATTAGAAAGAACAGGTATTACAACTGCTTTCTCAAGGCTCAGGTGTCTGGGTTACATATGGGAAATGAAGGATGACAAAGTACATAATGACATCCTCTGTGTGTTAAATTAAAGATTGGTAGAAGATTCCGAGGCCGGCCTCTACTACGATATAAAGATGTGTGCAAACGGGACATAAATGGTAAAGGCATTAAGGGAGACTCGTGGGAACAAAATGCCATGGACCGTGTTGTGTGGAGGAGGCACATCAGGAAGGCAGTGAGAACGAAGGAAGAAATTATTGCAAAAAGGGTGAGAGCTGAGCGTCTGAGAAAAAACGCACGTACAAATGTTGACTACTATGGTCTTGAAATTCCAAACTATAATTATGTAAGATTTCTGGCTAGTCACACTCGCCATCGCCCTGAGTTCCATGCTTCCTTATGGGACAATTTAACACTATAGAAAGGTGCCAGTGATGATGAGGCCAGTGTAGACAGAGGGGTCATGAGTGAGCCTGAAGTATTAGGGCTGCTAGCGCTGGCTGTCGCCACGGACTGTGAATGTTAAGATGTTTTTTTCCTCCGACATAAGAAAAACTTTCAACTCACCGAGGTCGAAATCGGGTCACCTGCAGGAAAGTTCGACCAGGGCCTTCTGTATATAAATAAATAGAGAAGGCCGTGGCTTGGCGTTATAACCGCTCGGAAATACAAGTTTGACGTCAGTTGACACTAAAGAACTCACTATGCCCTTCTTTGATAGCCTTAAATACAAAATACAGTTATAGCATTCCTCTATAACAGATAAATAATAAATTTGACTGCTGAGAATGGCGAAGCTTTAATAATTGAAATGAACAGCTGCTTCCTTTGTAAGCAGAGAAATTTTTAGTAAATTTGAAGTTACCATTGTAAGTCACGTGACTACGGTGAACTTCCGGCGAATAGACACCAGGATGCCTTGATATAAACTATTCGCATTTCCGTTGGATTTTTTCAGTTGTTGTGTTTCATTTTATGTTGAAGTGACTCTGTAGTAAAGCACCTGACGAGAAACGCGAAATATGCGTCGCAGTAAATTGTGCAATGTATTGTTTGTGTCCGCATTATTTAAAATCTATGATTTTACCGTAAGTTTATCGTCTGCTGTCTCATATTGTGTCTAGTGTAACCCATTCAGTCTTAAACATTTAATATTTTCAAGTATATAATCCTTGTAGAATATAAAAAAAAGTAGCTGCTTGTGGGAATGCAAGAGTTAAGACACAGAGCTGATACTCTAAGGTACAAAGATTACAATGGAACGTTTTGACGCAATAAATTTTACAGGAAGAGTTAAACTCTTTTGCCCCACAAATAATGAGTACTCCTCTTTCAGTCGGCGTCTGTGGCTTAGGCGTTACGAACGCGCTTTGTAATGCCGGGGTGTCAGGTTCAATCCCAGCTGCGGGCCTTGCGCCTTGCGTTGGTTTTAACAGTGGTATCGAGAAGCCCACCGTCTAGAAAGCAATGGCAAACTTCTGGACGTAAACTTGCCTAGGAAAACCACAACAGCCAAAAAATACTGGTGTTGGTTCTGCAACGTTCTGTAAAGGATACGCAACCAACTAACTAATCTCTTTTGTCAGGGCCAAAAATTGTTTAGGCCTAATACGGTCATGCTCTGCTGTGCCTTCATCTGCCGAAATCTTGGAAAGTATTACAGAGTACGGTTATTTCATAAACATGGCTGGCTGAAATGTATACCCCTAATGTTTGATTCAAAGAGAAAATGTCTATTCACACGGGAAGAGAGATCCAGCCTATTAAAGAAACAAGAGTTTTAAAGGAGGCTCCCAAATTGTATGGAATACCTGTAGCTCTTTTAACGAACCCTGTTAATCTCTCTCCTTTTCCAACATGAAAGGCGCGTTACAATAGATCAGATCATGGGTGTAAGCTTCTATCTTGTAAACACGAATATATCAAAGGCTCCCCCGGGCCAAATACCGACAGTAAACAAATATGTAAGAAATGCGGTCGTTAACACGGGCGCTATTTTACGATTATCAGAGAAGCTGTCGACCCGGAAGCTAGTTTATTTTCAGTTGTTAGATGGCTGTTATTTGTTGTTTTTATACCCTTTAGAGCCTCCGTGATTTCCAATTATTTACTAATTAACACTTGACAAAATTGGTGATAGATGAGTCTGCATACCATTACCACTATTGCCCAGTTGTGCTATTAAATGTCACAATTATCGGAGAAGCTGTTGACCCAGAAGCTTGTTTATTTTCGGTTGTTATACATCCGTTAAATTTGTTGTTTTATACTCTTTAGAACCTCCGTGATTTCCAATTATTTACTAATTAACACTTTAAAAAATTTGTGATAGATGACACTGCATACCACTACCATGATTGTCCAGTTATGCTATTAAATGTCACATAGTTCTGGTAGTCTATTTCTTCATTCTGTTCTGTCCTAAGGAAACCATTCGATGCCACCCAGTCCAGCACATTTAGCCTCTTTCATCAACGTTCTTTGTAGGGTTTCTTCTCGACGTACTCGCTTCATTCGTCTCCTTTTCCCATTTTGGTTCATGTTTGATGATTCTGTGTTCGTCTTTTCTCAGGATGGGTCTAGTATAGCGCTGTCTTCTCCGTCTTATAACTGTTGTTAACAGTGGTTGCCCAGACATTCCTTTTATTTCTGTACTCCTCTTGTATTCCTCCCATTTCTTGTCAACATAATCACCAGACGTTTGTTTTCAAATGCATGTAAGATTCGATTCTAGTCTTGAGTTGTTTCTCCA